TGATGATGATGATGATGATGATGATGACGATGATGACGATGATGACGATGTTGATGATATTGATGTGGATGATGAGGATGATGATGATGATGATAATGATGATGATGGATATGAAGATGATGATGATGATGAAGGTGATGATGATGAAGATGATGATGATGATTATGGTGATGAAGATGATGATGATGATGATGATGAAGATGATACTGACGAGGTATTGGTGAGCTGGCATTAAATGTCAAACCAATCTTTGTGTGTTGAATACACATCGATTTAAGATGCTATCAGTTCTATCGATTGACTTTTCATTTCGAATGGTTACTTTGTTGTTAGCGCAAATCGCACATTTTCGGCACCGATGCGTTTTACGTCTGATTTTTGTTTCATCCGCATCATAACTTGCGTACTCTCTACAGTTACGAACAAATCGTGATGCTTTGACCTGTTCCCACTTTAGGTAAGCCAACACTCACAGTTGGGACCACACCGAAACCCTCTGCGCCGTTGGAAGCTGATGCAGTGCCAGATCCCACAAATGCACGATGCCGTCGACTAACTGCGGATGATAGTGAACGCCGAGAAAACACATCAGAACTAGGTCCCTCACCTTCGACTAGCAGTCGTGCAAGCACGGTCTTTTGTCTCCCATGGGACACGGCTCCATTCGGTGGTTACCTATCCGACTTGATCAATCTGGCTGGTGGCACAAACGGATCAGGCAGTCGGAAGGAACTTGTCTATCGTCGTCGCACCATGTCCGGTTTGGACCGACGTTATCCTCTCGACAGACTCTCTGTCAGCAACGAACTGTCCGCTTCCTCGGCGGATTCACAGAACAAAGCTGAATTTCAAAGACTACTCCTGTTGTGGATGCAAACAAACGGTAATACGGGAGCCACAGCCGATACGTTACCTGTTGCCGCAAACGGCCAAACGACCGTTCCCAACCACCCTCCCCTGGTGACAGACAGTCGAAAGACAAATATTCCGCCGCCAATCCCGCGACGTCGCTCACGCCATGGTAACGGTGTGAGGCAGTCTGCCTTTGCATATCCATCCGACATCTCAATGGTTTCAGATATTAGTGTAAGCAGTTTGGGCTTTTGTCTGTAGACAAACTTACTTTATTTTAAGGGAAACAAATTAGAGGTGATTCCAGATGAGCAAGCAAATTTCAATATACTGCTTAGTGTTTATGGAATTCCTGGCTTAACCATACAAACATGTAGGGATGAGGACACACAGAAGGAGATAACTATTGACTGAGAGGGGGTGACACATCAAGTTTCGCTTGCATTACAGTATTTCACCTTAATTTGGAGATGTATTTCTATTTTCTAAAGGTTTCATCAGATCCAAATCCTTTATCCGCTTAATGTAGATTTGTGTTTTTTCCCCTGAGGAAGGACGTTTTTGCCGGTGGATATTACTGATGGGGCATGCGAGTAGTATGTTTTCTCGTAAATCTCTTGAAAAGTGATATCTGTTACGGAATTTGTGGAGTTACTTTGTAGCACTTGCTTGCATTTAAGTAACAGTCAACGAATATCCAGGAAACTTTGGGATGCCGCGTTTAAGAAAAATTTGGACATTCAATTTTTGTAAACAAGATGCATATGAGAGTTTTGCTCCCAAAAGTTCATGAAGAAACAACACCGCTACGACCAACCGTATCGCTCCCGGGGACTCAAACCTACAACCTCTCGAAAGAACTGTGGAAGAGGTTGAAATATCTCATTAGTGAGTCGCAACACTCAGTCAACAACGCAGGACAATTCCTGGAGAAACTGAGAAATATAGAGATCCAAGAGGATGAAATGATGGTTTCCTTTGATGTAAACTCACTGTTTACATCGGTAGACCTGGACACCGCCAAGATGACTGTCGCCAAACTGCTTGACGGATATGGCAAACCAAATGGAGCGCTGGAAAAAGAAGACCTTTGCGAAGTGCTCGGCCTGTGCCTGACCAACTATTTTGAGTTAAACGGTGACTACTACGAACAACTACGAGGAACACCGATGGGATCTTCGATTTCTGGATTTACTGCAGAAGTTGTAGTGCAAGAACTAGAGCGAATTGTACTTCCGGACAAAAACCCCAAGATATGGATCTGTTACGTGGACGACACCTTTGTCATTATCAAAAGGAGTGAACTTGAACGAACAAGTCAACTGATAAACAGCTTTTTCCACGATATTCAGTTCACAATGGTGAAACTGATAGGAAACTGGCATTCTGGACGTTCTGATCACGAGGTCACCAAACGGACAACTGCAGAAGGAAGTCTACAGGAAGGCAACGCACACGGACCAAATTCTGAGCTACCACAGCAATCACCCCAACTGTCACAAGCAAAGCTGCATCCGAACCCTGTTAAAGCGCATTGAGACGCACTGCAACACTACGGAGGCAAAAGTCAGAGAAGAGAAACGCTTGTACAGAGCTTTTCAGAGAAACGGATACCCGAGGAATTTCATCTGGCGGACTCTGAGAAAACCTAATCCGACCAACCCTACATCACAAAGAGAAGGCAAACGGGTCAGACTGTCATACATCAGGAATATTTCGGAAATGACAGCGCGCTTGCTACGACAGTACAACACAACAGTGTCCCACAAACCTGCAAACACCCCACGGAGAACACTATCAAACCCAAAGGGACGATTAGACACACAACTTCGTGTACAAGATCCAGTGCGGAGATTGTGACAAACACTACGTGGGACAAACAGGAAGAAAGCTTTCTACCAGGATACATGAAAACAAACTTGCAACCAAAAGGCATGACCAATTTTCGCTCGTCTCCGTACACGAAGATCAAGATGGACACAATTTCAGCTGGAGCACCGTTCACATATTGGCGCAGGCGAGAACAAAGAAAGAAAGTGAATTCATAGAAGCATGGCACTCTACTGAAAAAGCTTTCAACAAACACATAGAAATTGATCCGGTCTATCGGCCACTGCAAACAAAAGAAGTACGGAACCACAGAACGCAGAGGCGGACAAAGAGAAAAGAAACAAACAACCAGGCTGAAGCAAGGAAACTGCCGAAAGCAGAAGACACCGTCACAACCAAGCAGAATCCAGGAAGAAAGACTACAACAAAACAGAAACCGGAAACGGACCAATTGCAAACAGACCCGGAACACCCCAAAACAGCCATCCAACAAACCAATGGAATAAGAGACACATTGACCACAACGCAGCAAAACAAAATCACGATTGATCCTACTCGATCACACGACAGGATATTGAATACTCTACAAAAACTACATAAACGCAGCTAGGCACGGAGGAAGCACCCATTCAGCTGTGCACTGACGATGTCTCCTCGACTGGGGACGAAACGTTTGCAAGCCAATTGCCAAGGTCGGCGAACAGATCAACTGCCAACTGATCAACCACCAGAGTTTTGCTCCCCTGTCCAATAGTCTGTAACTGTTCAATTGGTGTTTCTCTAACAAACAACTTTGTAGCGAAGGCTTTCTTCTTTCCACCGATAGGTGAAGACCTTCATGTAGGTTCAGTCACCCTTTGGGGGCAGTGAAAATTTTCCTGATCGAAGTGGTACTGGTTGGCTCGTTGGTGTCGAGAATTCTCCCAACTAAAAAGTCAGCAGTGGTACTTTTCCGTCACCTCTGATTTGGCATGGACGGTGGCCTTTCTCCAAAGAGACAGCACCTCCTTTCATCCACTTCCCTTACCTACGTTCGGACAGACTGAAAATGTTTTCAAAACGCAGATTCCTTTCGGACGAGAATTGAAACCGCATGGTCACACTACTGTGTATACTAATCCAGCACCCGACATCATGAACTTGACTTGGGGCCAGTTCATCTACATGTGTGCGTTCGAGTCTTTGAACAACAAAATTCAATCAATAAAGCGACAAGCAAACGACACCACAACATCCATTTGATGAGTCTCACTCACAAGAACCGATCACAGTTATATTCTGGCACTCTTCACCTAAAATTATACAGCTGGTTGCACACGGTGTGAGTTGACTTGATCGATGTAGTTGAAAACATTCGAAAAAGAGGGAATTGGTTATTGATGGTTGCAGGAGTGTTGGAGTCCACTGCTGTTTGAACAGTTCCCCTGCTGTCCTGGACATGTGTTTCGCTTTTCTCATTAGAACTCATCAGCAGTGCATGTCCTTCGCCCTTTGGGAGTCTCGACTCTGGACATACGACATGCGAGACGAACGCGTTGTCACTACTCCGCCAGCACAGGCTGGTGGCGTACCTGGATTATCATTTATGTGTTGACATTTGAGTGATGTGACTAGTTTGCCCGACGGCTCGAACGACGATCCACTTAATTTCCTGGTTATGTAGATCGATTGACCCACGTGGCAAGACCTCCCACTAACGTAGCGTCGTGGATGCCTTGAAACCGGCTAGGGAAGTTTCTGAATTCACGTTGAGCTATTCCTCGAAGTTATTCAGAGCGTTGGAAAAATCAGTCATATCGCCCAAGCGTGAACACGCTCGCCTGTTCATAGCTAATAATCCGCGTGCACCTTGAGTATGCTTTGGCAGACAACACCCATGTCGAATGTCCAAAGTTAAAACCCCAACAAGTTCCAACAAGAAGAGCGAAACGCGTGTCCAAACCTTCAACCCTTCGGTGTGGACTCACCCAAAATAATTGCACCAGGGCAGGCAGACGACTGTTCAAACGTGAGTGGCGTGAACGTGAAAAACCGAACTGTTTAGGAACTACTGAAACGAACAGTAGTATGTGATGGAAACTTGTAGAAGTTTGTACCCATTTCTTCCTCGGATATATCTATTTTAATGACACAACCCTTAAGAGTCTATGAGTCCCACAAAAAACTGATTGTCTACCCTGAAAATGAGAATCTGACATCATCGATTTGGTTCTGATGTGAAGCAGCCCTCACTCCGGAAGCATTCTCGAAACGTTTAACCTGCCGCTTTATATTGACCTTTCGCAGCCCTATGCAGTAACAGTATGTCCCACAAAGTCCCAATTTTCGAAAGATCACGAATGCCCGTCAAAACTAAAGCCATTTCAAGGTACCAGCGCCGTCGATCCTAATGAAGGTTCCGATGTGTATGACGAAGCCTTTTGTGGAAATGATGAGGACGTTGTCAGACGCACGGATCCAGTTCCTATCCATTCTCAGCCATCTTCACGCATCCCAACTCCCTTGTCCAAACTGGAATCAACGTTCTGTGGATCGGCACCAAGCTCCTCGCCGAACATGCCCACTGGTGATAGACCACCGAATTATGTTTGTAAGTTAACCTTCTGTCTGGTTAGCTTATCACAAATATTTGTCTGATAAATGAAATTTTGGAATCACAAAAAGAAAGATTCCTTTGGGACGCCGTAGCGTCCCCGGTTGAAACCAACTTAGTTTGCAAAGAGTGTAATCCTAGCTACCGACTTGTGTCGTTCAGCTGTAGTACCCTCCCGGTGCATAACTGCCATGACACCCGAAGGTTGTACGAGCGTTGAGATAATGCCAGGCTGCCCAAGCCTAGATAGGGGAAGTCGAGAGGCAGAGGTCGGGTTCGAACCACAGTTAATTCGCGCTTTAACCACTTGGACCATCTGGCCCCAGTTACCGACTTATTGTGTTTCGTATCAATGAGCGTTCAAGCCACAATCTTGTCCTCAATAGGCACATTCTATTAAAATGTGTGCAATGGCAGCTTGCCGCTAAACCCTGGATTTTTCCCGTCAAACCATGCGAATTCTTACAAGGTAATATGGATCGCCCGCTTCCCCCCATGTGATTTTGAGCGTCCATAGTTTAAGTATTTTGCCGAGAAATTGTCATCTCCTGAAATCACTGTTAACCGTTTCATACGTACACCAACAGATGCTCAAGTGATTCCTCGGCATCTTCGCAATCATTCAGAATCGGACAGTGGCAGCGATAAGAAGAAACAAAGCAGTCAGAATCCTTTGGCTCCAGAAAAGTCAAATGGCACTTCAAAATTTGGCCATGGGAGAAAACAGCTTGCATACGTGGAAATTGACGATGCATTCTATGCAGATGGATATGGCTGCGCAACTTTGGGGGCGGGTGGTATGCCTCTGTGTTCGACCGTCGACAATTACTACCGCCCAAATCCCTTGCTCTCGTCCAATTCAAATTCAAGTTTATCCGACTACTCATCCCAGTCCAGTAGTCATTCGAATCTGGGTGGTGAGTCATCCACATTCTCCTCTGCGCGCTTCCAGACGGCACAAACATCACGCAGAGGAAGTCCTGGACGACCGACCGAGGTAAAACAGTCCGGCTGGTACATCAGGAAATTTCTGCAACGGTAAGTACGCATGGTGATAAACTCCACCGCACGGTCTATTTGTCAAAATGGCGACGGAGATCGTTGTCCTAAGAAACAGCATTACTGCGTACAGTTTTCATCGTGCTATCACACACACACACCTGGAAAATATGAGTAGTGCTAACGTACAGAACCTACTCTGGGAGTGAAATCGAATTCGCGCTTGCTGTTTGTGGTAGCCAATGTTACTACTGTTCACCGACAGTGCAGTGATTTCACTTTACAGGTGTGTTTTATGAGGCAACTATTGAAGAAGGGGGAGCGTTTTTTTGGTTTTGAAGGTGACCTGACGGCCAAGTCACTAAAACTGTTCCTTGTATTAACCTCCAATGAGATACAGCCTCACACGTGGTTCAACCTTGAGTGATTTTGTGTGTTTAGACCATGCTCGTGAGTCTGTAGAGTGCGAAATACCAATAAAGTAGGTTAATTGAGCCTGGTGATAACAGCCGCAGTGCTATGTCCGACGCTTCAACAAACGGTACCTCAACTTCATTGCTGAATTGTTCTTGATCATGACTAGTCTACAAAATGTTGGAATGATGGGGTGTACAGTGGTGGTAAGCCAGTCCAAGTCGATCCACTGACGCCGAGTACAGTGGTTTGGATAGATTCCGTGCAAACCAGACACCGAACCGTCCCAAAAACTGTTCGGATCAACCCTTACCCTGCTCAGAATGGCGTTGTCATGTCGGAAGAAAGTTGTAGGTCTGAATTACGACAGATACCATCAACTTTGAACAACTGAGTTCTCAACCGTGAGAGAGCAAATGTTTGATTCGGTGCTGGGTATGTAGCGATCCTCGAGACACTCACAGCTGCTTCACCCTCAACCAGCGGACGGTTGCCGAAAGGCATTTAGGTGGAAGTATAGCGACCGGTATGGGGACTGTTACGGTTCGTGGAACTTCCTTACAGCTTAGCATGCCTACCCCATGCTGTCACTCCTGAAAAGAGAAATCGCTTGCCCGAGACCTCTCTTGGGCTGTCGAGAAGTTTTCACCAACCTTGTGAGTAGTGTCCCTTGTCGAAATATACTGTGATATCACGAATATCATACCAATCGAAACATGAGGCGGCCTGTGTGCAGCACATTCAGTTGAGGAACATGATAAACGAGAGACTCATTTGAGTCTCCCTTGAAGAGCAAATTGATTTGCAAATGAGTGTATTTTTCTAAATCAGTCCAAGTTGGCTTCAAGTAGAACATCAGGTCGGCGGAAACTCGAAGACTGCGTCTACCTGCTGAGCCCCAAGAAAGGTGAAACCGGTGTTGTGCTATCGAAGGGTAAGTGGTCCCCTGTATGGATAATACATACTTATACGAGAGAGAGATTTGTCAATTCAGAAAAAGTCGGGAATCCGAGTAACTATAGTTCGAATACGGCCCCATCAGACTATGTTTATAAACACGGATATCTAAAAGCAGCCAATCGTTTACGTTCCTTCTCTTGCTGTCACTAAATATAATACCAGAGGTCTCCGATGGAAGAATCCACTTTAGCATGGTCGGTCCGGGTCTTGCGTTGGTTCAGTCCAGTTAAATTTTTCACCTGAAAAAAAAACGTATCAAATTAGCATTAGCTTCGTTCACCGAGGATAAAGATGACAGGTGGCTTAGTCTGTGTACTGATATCAAGTCTTTCTGTGTGTCTGGTAGGACGGGAACTGAGAGCTAAATGGAAGGGCGGCGGATATGATGCAAGACCACCGGTGGCTGCGTGACACAGCTATGGGTACCAGGGTTACTAATCATTGGTTGGTCTCGTCGCGCGGTTCCGATTCGGGAAAATGGCACTTTGCAAAGCGACTGAATTGATTTGATAAGGGATACCATATTTCGTTACCAGGTGACGAACTGACTGTCTCCAGGTCGTCGCTGTCCGATACAGACATGGGCGGCGTGCGTTCTACGAGGCGAAAAATCCTCTGGTGTACGACGTATGTGGCCTAACCAGAGTAACCTGTGGACTGTGACTAGCTGATCTGTTGAAGGAGAGTAAACTTCCCCGAAAACCTTCTGGCATGTTTCGGCATTCCTACTCTGGTGTTCACAACAGACTGATGCGAAACTTCGGAGGTCAAAGACACACTGACTAATTCTTCGATTCATAAAGTAGGACAGACCGGAGCGTGAGTCTGCCCTTGACATTCAAGCTGACGTCTTGTCGACGCCGCAAATGTTGGTGGTTGGCAAACGCTGTCCTGGTCTTCCCAATTCCGAAAGTGATGTCGTCTTTAGGCTGTCTGTCTGTTCCCCAGGTAAACGTAACTGTCTACCACGTCGGTCGATTCACCTGCAAGTATGAGGTTCGGGTTCGATCCCACTCAACCCCTCACTCTGCAGGTGCGAAACGTATACCGAACTATGCAGCAGAATTGTCCAGATTGTTTAAAATAGTTTGCATTTCTAAAGGGTGTGACCCAGACAGAGCTATATCAACAGCGTACTCGATGTCCGCAAGTGAACGATCCGGCAGAAGTTTGATCTGCAAGGTGTCAAGAGCAGGTAAAGAAGACTGAGTACGAACTTGACGAGAAAGGAAGACAGTGGCTAACGCTGCGTAACATCTCTGGATGTGGTGAACTCGAGTGAGAATTTGCCGTGGTAAGTGCGTGTCCACGGGAGAACGTATGTGAAACAAGAATTTAGAAGGCATAAACTTCGCCACCACCACAGTTTCCTACGAGCAGCGGGGCCGACAACAAATGATCATTGTTGGTCGTCGGAACGAGTGGTGCAGTTCGAACATGTGTCGCAAGGTGAACCTGTGATCGCTGCAACCCCACCCCTGGGGGAAAACTCAGCTTGATTCATCTGACTGTAACGATGGTGGATCAACTTGCGTAGGATGACATCCAGAAAGCACCTTTGAAACCTCTAAGACCCTACGATGGCCTACACACTTTTCGATTGCAGGGAGGCTCATATGTGGGCGTGCGATTTGGCTATCAACCATGTTGAAACAAAAAAACGCCTGAACGTACAGTTCACAGGACTTGCTGACTCATATATAAAACAACTTCACTCTAAAAGACTGTCTTCACATTTTCTAGTGACACAACTGAGGCGGTATATTTGCATCTGAATCCAAGTTTGAGTTGGTGGATCGCCTAATTCGTCGCTCGAACATTACTGTTTGATTCATCTATAATTTAGCTGACATTTTCACTGAGACAATGATCGAAGTCTGTCGCCCGCCCTATAGATGACCAGCTGTCAAACCTTCTAATCGTTTTTAGCTATTAATAACGACGTGGACAACACCGGTCGTGTGTGTGTGTCAGTAGTGCATTTAGGGAAAACGATTCTACTTTAGCTCTGGTCTCGTTTTCGGGGAATTACTGCGCATCAAGGTGTATTGCGAAAAATTAGATAGATGATTCACCCTCAGTTGTCACCCGCCTGGACCGAACGAAACACATACTGAATGGATTGTTGAACCGAGTCATACCAACGTGTGTACCAAGGTCTGGCGGTCAACTCTGTCCAAGAAACATTGTCGAGGTAAAATATAGCAAGCACAAACTAGTTCACATGTGTGTCCCCTTACGAGTGGCTCTTTCGAGTGGCAGAATCCTCGTCTATTCTGTTTACGGTTTGTCTGTTCATCGTATTAGTGCACTGCTGTTGACGATGTCCATAATACGATTCAGAAGGTGTATGCACTAATAGGCGTTTTTAGCATGGTTGACAGTGCTGGGTTGCAACACGTATAAAAATAAATACAATGCGAAATGGGAATAAGTCAGAAGAGGAGCTTATCGTCTGTGAGATTTCCTTGGTGAAAATTCGGACAGCGGGAACGTGTTTTTCTCCACAGTGCGACTGCTAATCGTGTTCCATAATTGTCCGTGGACTTGTACAGAGTGGCTGAATTCCTGCTCCCTGCGCGCGCACGCGGGTCTGTGCGCTGACAGTGTTCGGTTTCCCCGTATGTAGGTCCGTTTGTGTGTACGTGGGTGTGTTAGCACATGAGTAGTTGCTACGCTGACTAGGCGGTGCAGCTAATGTCCGGTCCGATGAGTCCGCTTAGTGTGACGTGGTTTGTGATCCGGTGAGCGACTGTGAGTTGAACAGCCAAGTATGTGGATGACCGGGTAGCTACAATCTAACCTTCTCACAGATTAGCAGCGTCCGCATTGAAATCTGATTTGTCGCGGTTCGTTCCCAGCCATGCTGACGGCTCACAGAAAGGAGATAGTGAACGGTGTGGTCGAAACTAAGAGAGTTGCAAGACTTTCCATTCAATGACAGGAACAATTAGGTATCTTTTGTAAGTGAAGATAATCTACGCTGAAAAGGAAGACACGTCACGTGATCACGTATTGAATGGCTCCTCAATTGAAGACTTCTCAGGTGAATTTGTCGCTCTTGTCTGAGCTACCTTCAGGTTGTTATCCTTACTCTCGTTTATCTTGGAGAATGATTCATGAAGAAGGGCCACATCGATTGATTTCTGACATCTGAAGCTTTGGGCCTTCGAGATCAGTTAGAAACTGAGTGTGTCTTTCAAAAACTCCACATTCTGCTGGAGAAGAAGAACGTTTATTGTGGAGTGAGTTTATGCAGCGTTCTTGCTCTCCACTTGCTTCGAGGCCGTGGCGCAGGAAAAGTCTGTTGCAGTCGCACAGAGGAGGCCTCAAAATATACATTAAATAATATAAACAAAATAAAACAGTCGTTCAACTGTAGCGCCCTTTTGCTGCCTAGTTGCCATGCCACCCGAAGGAGGCACGAGGGCTGGGATACTACCAAGTTGCCCAAGCCTAGACAGGGTAAGTCGGGAGGCAGAGGTCGGGTTCGAAGCATGGACCTTCCGGCTAGTGAATTCGCGCTCTAACCACTTGAGCCATCTCGCCCCCTGAAATTGACATTAACCTGCATCTAGTCACTTACTACTTTAATTGACTACTTTAATGCCAAACCACGAATAAACCCTGGAAAAATATCAAGTGGCCTTGAAAGACTATATCGACAGGTCAGGAGCCCTTTCTAGTACGTTTATGTATACTTACAGCTGCAGTAGGAACTGACGATAGGGTGATACTAAATGAACACTGACCAGTACACGACAGCTTCAGCTGACAGGCAATGATCACAAAAATCCCGTTTACCGTTTTCCAAAAACAACAGAAACACATTTGCACAAATTATCGTCTAAAAGAACACAAAATGCCTTGCGAAGAGAGTCGCCTCACTTTCCTCTCAAAAACAAGCAAGAGCAGTAGGAAGGTTTGATCAGGATGCCGTGGGGGAGCTGAAGCAGTTGTGGGCAAATCTCAGCTGGTGATTGGCCAGAGATCACGTGTGTCAGCAGTACAACCGCAGTCAATTCCAGCAAGCCCCTTCGTTCAGTGAGCCGTCCTTCACAAGGCTCCAATGACACCTAACCCTTCTGGTTCAAAGTCCTCATCTTGCTGGACTACTGCAGTCCTTATCGTCTGGGTACCAAACGTGACCACTCCTCACAGCTCTCACTCACTACAGTGAGCATTTACAATGTTCCGTATATTCTTATTCTGGACGTACACATTCGTTGGTTATCACACATCCTTTTGGTCCTTCAACAGCTTGATCAAAGACAAAACTGGTGAGGTTGCGGAGCAGATTGGTCTGTTTATTGAGTGCACCAGAGCGAGCTCCGACCGGGGTCCGTACCGAACCATGCAGTCGGTGAGTGATTTGACCCCATTTTAGTTACCTGTCTGCTTTAGTTATAGCAATGTGCCACCTGGTTCAGGCAATGTGCGGTGAAATTCTTGTAGTATGGGACATTTTTAACGAAGAAATCGATTATTTTTTCAAAAAATTAGAAGTCACTGTCCTCGCTAGGCAACCACATTCCAATTTATTTGCCTGTAAGGTGGTTGGTCCAATTTCTTCCATTTTTCAAGGTCAAATGGTAATAGATTGAAGTGATCTCTTCTCAGTGAAAGATTCAATAAGGAATTCTGCTGAAAAAGTTTTCGACAGGCCCATTTCAATTATTCTATGACGTAGCGTTCATTGATTGTTTCTGTAACAAAATGACTCATAATGCACAGAAACAACACAGGTGACCTGGCCTAGAATAGCACAGATGTTTCGCAGGATATTACGAGATATCCTGGACGGAGAATTGTTGAACCTGAGACAATCGTTGAGGTGTAGGGCTTTACCTGGGTCTCCAAGATGAGTCATCTGCGAAACGTATCCATTTAGAAACCGGCTGACAAGAACTATCGAGAAATCCGCTAATTGGAAGGCATATGATCAATTGGTGAGCCCTGTAGATTTCATCACCTTTAGGAAGGACACTGACCATTTTCCGCCAATGGCCTATATTAGGGGGAGCCATTCTCGAAAATCCTTTGACAGTGTTACTTATAAGTAGCTTGTTGTACCAAGAAAATGGGATCCGCTATCGAGAAGATCGGACCGACTGAAACATGAAGAGGCATTCGTGCAGCGCATTCGATTGAAGGCTATCATGAACGGGCAATTCACTTGAGTCTCGGGTGAAAAAAAACAGTTTGTAAATGAGGAATCCGTTCAACTTATTCTGGTTTTATTTACTTTTGATCGCAGCTGCCCGAAGTGATCCGAAAATCGTCCATCCACGTGACAATGACAATCAGAGTCAGCAACACAACTTTGTATGCTCTCAATCAAACAGTTCTGTCTACACACTTTATAAGAACGGTGATCGATTAACCAACATCTGTGCCCCAACTTGCAATAAAATAAATTAAAATAAAATGGGAAAAATAGTCCGATAGAAGTTGAACGTCAGACAAATCGGGCAACCAGCAGTCGATAAGTACCTCGGAGAAACGGTTCTGAGATGTCATCATTGAAGGAACCAATCAGCACGTGATGTGGTTTACGTGATTCTAGGGCGAGTGGTGCTCTATCCCGCCTAATCAGCTGTTCAGCCGCTCTTGGCCCAACCACTGGCCGGAAGGTCTCAGTTTCGAAACTCCTTGCGTTTCGTGAGAGGCGACCTCTGACGGATTAGGAATAGGGATAAAAATGCTTATCAACTTTTCAGTGCAGATTGGCTTCACTCACTGGGCCAGACTTTTGTTAAAAAACCGGGAATTAGCCAAGTCGACTCGGGCGTGGTTTGATACTAATACTCGGTACTTTTGGATGTTTCTTTTTTTGGATAACATAACAGTTGATGACAGTAAACTAGGCAGGCATAAGTTATCAGTCTTTCGCATACTTTTTTCACCTGTTCGCCTTCACAGATTCGGCAATTCATCAACGGAATGACAAATTATCTGATGCGGAATCCCAAACTTGGACTCTCGGAAGCTGTGAACAAGGAGAAAGAACAGGTGAGTGGTGGAGCGTAGCCTCGGACTTTGCAGATCAAATATAGGTCAGCGCACTGACTTTATTTCGTCGAACGACGATAAGACGTTCGCAATTCGACCGTCAAGCTTGGTTAGTGTCAGCTTTCAACCGTACTTTCAACTGTAGAACCGGATCTGATGAAGCGCTTGCCCAGAACTGTATTTTGCCCCGCTCCACCTACCTCATTCCCATTTTTGTTAGAATCATCGGTCAGTCTTCGTAAACGTGGGTACTTTTTACATTGTCTGAGAAGGTGACTGAGCTATCGATCAGCAGTAGCTACGATAACTGTGGTCAGAGCACAGTACTTGACGACTAGTCGGTCGGTCTGTTTACGCCGCCCGGATGTGCATGGTAATCACAGGTTTTCATCTTTTCAATCTGTTCAGTGCAACCGAATTCGCTTGCCATTTCAGGGGTCATAACACGAAAATTGTACTGAAACGACACAGTTCATATCCAAGTTGTTCCGCCCAAACGCAGTCCAAGACAGGATTACCCTGCTGACTTGTCTAGAAACCAAGTCTTTGACGGTAGCCATCTGTTCCCAGCCCAAGGAAAGCGAGCTCTGAGGTACAAGGTTTATACTACCTGTGGCATTCCACTGTAGTAGACTCTTTTGCATTGGGCGATTTCCACGACAAATCCAAGCCATGTGCGGAATTCTGGGGAGTCACTAAAGCGACACCTGGAGACCAATTTCCTCGAATATCGGAGCTGCTATTTGAAAACACCGTGGAGCATTTCATTTTAACTATAAACACTATGAATTTCCAAATGGACCCGTTTTATTTAACACAGCACTGGTGCACAAATATTTCGTGAGAAGGATAAATATAAACGTGAATTCTTTCGAAATCAGTAATCAGCTGACGTGAGGTCGAAGATACTAACGGACGAGCAACCTCACACAAAATCAAAGATGAACAGATCCAAAAACAACGAGGTCTTGTTCCAGTGTGGCTGAGTCAAAAAGTCTTAAACTTTGTGTCTCTGATTCGGAGGGTGTTCCACTTCTCTAGATTCAGGAGCAGTGAATTTTTCTGAGCATAAGTCGGCCGTCTCTCAGAGGCATCTCAGGGAGAGTTTCGCAAAAAAATTTAACATATACAAGTCACACAGTATTCCAAGTGTACTGAGTAATTACTCTGATCCCGTGATTCGTCTTCTTTTCTGGAGATAAAGTTGTCCTTCTATATTTGGCAACTGGTGCTTTCTGAGTTCCTCAGAGGTATGTCTGCTGCTGATTCTGTGTTCCGTGACAGTGGACATTAGTTTAGAGAGACCTGTCCCAGAATGGCTCTCCATTACTCACGTCGATGTTGAACCTCCTCGCGTAAAATGGTGTTTACTCCAAAAAATTCTAATAGCAATGAAAAAGAAATACAAAGAAATCTGTTAATAGCTAACCACACATGTTTCACTACGTTTGTAGTTTACAACATCCAAGATGATAACCAGATCGACTGATTCACCATCTGCCAGTCCAGCGTAGCCTTTCAGGCATCATGGTGCTAACCGGAATCCTGTAAACACTTTCAGTTTATTTCACCGCGCCACAGACTTCCCGTCTCTCCTTCTACGCCACTCTCAATTACTCCCCCCAAAAAAAGAAACAACCCTTTTCCTGTGACTCACCAGACATACCACGTGACCCAATCAGGATCGGACTGGTCAAATTCTTTCAACGCCTATGCATCGTAACACAAATTTTCGAATAGTCTCACCAGGGAATCGTCGACGCCCGTGTATGCGAATAGTGGGTAAGCGTGAATGAATTTACACAGAGATACGCCAATCATCCCTACAAGAAAAAACAGTGAATTTACTTCGAAGCTGCGTAGTTTGAAAGAATTACGCTAGTTCGAATAGAGCAGAAGTCAGGTTGACCGTGAACAGCCCATCTCAAGTGGATGACAGTCCGTTTCCCGTGTGCTTACTGGGGACCTAAAAGCCCTAGAATGACAGGAGAGAAAAAAGATCTGGGGGAAGACGCAGATATTGATTTGTAAACTGATTTCTCGAAAACAGTCCAATGTGGATTCAAGTAGAACATAAGGTCGACGGAAACTCGGGGACTGCGCCTACCTGATGAGCCCGATGTGGAAGGGCGAAACCGGTGGTGGGCTGTCGAAGAGTTTTCAGCTATCTTGTGATTATATACTGCGATATCTCGAATATCGTGCCAACTGAATCATGAGGTGGCCCGTGTGCAGCACATTCAGTTGTAGAATATCATAAACGAGAGATTCAGTTGAGTCTCTCGTGAAAACCAAATTGATTTGCAAATGAGTGTATTTCTCGAAAGACATAGACAGTTGGCGTTTGTGCGGATTTTGACGCTTTGGGGAGTGGGTGTTTGAGCCGTGTGTTTGAGAGAGTCCTTTGACTTCTGGTGTGGTGGGCACTAGTGGTTCATCTTATCTGTTGTCACATAGGAAATATGTCCGTGACACCTAACGGCCTTACTCCCTCTGTGTACGGTTCACTGGCGGAACCTCGGTTAAGAGGCGTTTCTCATAGTTATGAGAGCCACACCTCAGTATCTTGGGCCAATGTATGGAGGGGAAATCCTAGACCGATTATTGGTACGGGTTCGGATGAACTGCGTCTCTCAGTTGTTTCTTACCAAGGAATTAGTTCGGTCACTGCTCTTCAGCTGTACACCAATATATCGAACGTGAAAGTCGTGTGACTGATTGGCTTACAACCGATGTACTTCCCTTCACACTGCCAGAATCTTCCGTATCGGTTTGGTCACTTGGACTGTCGGTGGAATGTCATACTCGTCCAGGAGTTGTCTAATATCCTTAGATGCGCTTTTATTGTGGTTCACTTGCACCGTGGTACCGCTCTGTCTTGGCTACGAGTTAATCGTGTCTGTTAATCTCCCTGAAGTTTGAAATAAGCCTTCAGTCGATTGAATGAAAGAGAAGAACTGATCCTGTTTCTGATTTGATCCATAGTCAGCCTAAAATCCCGCTTGTTTGTGTTCGGACCGCTGCAGGTCTGTCTTTAAGAAGCACCGTGAAAATGAGAAGAGAACATACGAACAAAGAAACTGACCTGTACCCTAGATATATATATCTGATCAATATAGTAGACACAGTAGACTAAAGCTCACCCGAATGCGCACCAAGCATTGACGGATAGTTTCGAATAGAATGCCAGCCGATCCATTTCGAGCATCATCACTTGGTCAGAACTGGGACATTGTTCACCAAAATGTGGGATGAGCGAATTTCAGGGATGACATTTAGAGATTATTCAATTCACTGGTTGGCAACACGTGGTGACCGATATGCTACAAGTTGATCAGTAATACTCGCAGGTTTGGTGAAAACTCCGGGCAACTCACTACCAGTTTTTTTTGGGGGAGATGGATAGACCTAGTTCCGGAATTTCCGTGAGACCATCAGGCGTGTTGCGACTGGCGCTCAGTTACATCGTAACTTGGTGCTGATGGGGGACCCAGCTGGTCCTGTGGTTTATAACATCTGAACCCGCCACATGTAGATCGGTTTCAAATCCGTCATAGTTACAATTTAAACAAACGCCTAATTTATCTGCTACTCACAACAAGCTGCATTCAGTAGATCATGAATCCACATTTGGCGAGGAGGTACAAATCAATTTCTTCCGGTCCTGAGGCTCATCATGTGGTATTGATCAGCTCATTCGCGGCCAAGTAGCTTTTTACCACTTCTCTGGTTACGCAGAAGAAAACAGCACAAAAACTACCCCTGGATGGGGCATCCCAAGCGGATGCTTTCAAACCAGTCAACCAGCTGCTCATCGACCGCCTTACTAGTGCGGAGTGAAACAGAGGGTCACGTGGCCAACTGTCAGTAGTACATTACGTACTGGCTTCCGGCAGTGCACTTCGAAGGAACAAAAAAACGCAATTCTCCCATAATTTCAAAAACTCTGCTCACTCAACACACACAATGAGAGTCTTTTTTTGACCTTGGCGGTACGTCTCCATTCGTTTTTTTCCTATTCATTGGTTTATTTTATCCGCCAATTTTGAATGTAGTTACCATCGTTACGGTGATCCATCAGCATTGCTGACGATAAAATCCCAACTGAGATAACGAAATCTCCGTACAACGCAAGAGGTAATCTTGATGTCGATTAGAACACACTGCGGTAATTTTCTAACTATAGTTTAGTTGGAAATTGATGCTTGCCAGGCTTCAGTCTGTAGTCACTTCTTGTGACTCAGTCTAGGTTCCACTGTGGGTGGGACTATAAGTAAACTGTGCGGAGAAATACACCCATTTGCAAATCAATTTGGTTTTCAGCAACCTTGTGAGTAGTTTCCTTTACGAAAATATACCGCGATGTCTCTTGCCAACTGAGTCATGAGGCGGCCTGTGTGCAGCACATTCAGTTGTAGAATATCATAAACGAGAGATTCAGTTGAGTCTCTGGTGAAAACCAAATTGATTTGCGAATAAGTGTATTTCTCGGAAACAGTCCGATTTAGGTTCAAGTAGCTCATAATGTTGACGGAAACTCGGGGACTGCGCCTACCTGGTGAGCTCCAAGAAGGGCGAAAACCGGTGGTGGGCTGCCGAAGAGTTTTCAGCAACCTTGTGAGTAGTTTCATTTATCAAACTAAACTGTGTAGAAATTTACGCGCCCAATGATTAAGTCAAACTAAGTCGGGTGAAATGCTCCCAGTGCGTGCAAACCCAATCCCCCTTGAATAAACACCGCCTGTGAGACCCCTCAGGTAAAAAGACCAAGTATATGTCGCAGACAACTAAATTTTCCTCACTAATTTCCAAATCCCCCTCCACAGCTTTCGGACTATGGATTCCTCAATGTTGGTGCCATCTTGGAAACAACTCTGCAGAAGTATGTCCTCCGTCCGCTGCATCGCCACGTGATACGACAACTAAAAAGAGAACAAATTAGGTGAGTTCACTTTCTGTTACCCGACTTTGAGCAACTCAAGCTCACCCATCCTCCCAACAACGTAAAAATAGTTGAACATAGAAGCTGTGTCTTGCGTAGCATTCTCTCCAGCGTGGTCAAGTACGTCGCAAGATCAGCCGTTCGTATTCTGGTATCTTACAAATCTTGTGACAGTATTCCTTCGCTCCAAAAAATGGTTTGTGTAACCAGCGCCTGCGTTAACCGCCTGTTCCATGGGGTGAAAATATTCCGCGAGCAGCTACCCCAAAAACGTCCACTGTACAGCTTCAACCTGGACTGGAGTCGTTTTTAACTCGTCGCATCAGGATAGACTTGAAGAAGAACGCTTAAATCATGATTAGTGGTCTATCGGACTGAAGGCTTTTCATCACCGACTGGGTTGAAATAATGAATATGTTTCGCTCACGCGCGTGCTGTGTGTACATGCGTACGAATGTGCGTGCGTGTCTCTGTATGAGATCTGCTCACACAGACGGACCTTGGGTTGTCTTTGGACCCTCGAATTAAGATAACTGTTGTCCTCTCACCAGCAAGCAGTAATTCCATCAAAATCCATCCATTGCAATGGACAGAAAATTGAAACAAAAATGCATAAAGAAGTAGCGTTTTACCGCTGGTACCAAATTTGATTGTTACGTTAGCGAATATACACTCATTTGCAAACTAATTTGGTTTTTCGAGAGACTCACCTGGAATCCAGCTGAATCTCTCGTTTGTGATGTTTTCATTGATTGATGATTGTCACATGTCCTTTTGGATCACACCTTTTTTGTCATACAAACGCCCATTTTCAATTCTTGACTGGCCAATCAAAACCCACCTTACTGACATCTCCAACATGGCGCCTGCATCAACTTGATGAAAGTCTCGGTTAGTTAGATTAAAAGTCAGTAACTGTGTTCCGCAGAAGTAGTGTGTCATCGAACGACAAACCAGATACAGGCTATGCATTTCCGAATCACGTGATTCTTGTTCATTTGTAATATACTCGATCCCAAACCGATTTGAATGACTGGTGGGTAGAGTGTTATGCATTCTTTATCGCTTCAGCCAATCACGTGGGTAGATGTATTCCACTGCTGAGATAAGACTGGTAAGACAGAACATCGTTCATAGCTATGCCTTATTTTGTAAACCTGAAATTAAAAAGTGTAAGGAATAAAATGAAAGGGTGTTACACCTGAACCATTTGAATTCGGGTTTGAACATGGAAGGATGTGCGAAAGAATAGCTGTTATACGCACAGACACCTTCACCAATGCCCTTTTCGGTGAGCATACATCGCGTGATCAGGCTGTACCTCGGATTACCAGAGGCATCTGCCTCTCAACTGAGTAGGCAAAATGGATTCTCGAAAAAGAACCGAATGAGAGAAACCGGTGCCCGAACGCTCACCCTCTATGCATAATAATTTATTATCTTTAATGTGGACTGAATGACGAACCGGAGGTAAGTAAAATGGTTCAGCTGTAACAGCCTTCCGGTGCCTAGCTGCCGTGCCACCAAGAGATCCCAGGACTGGGATACTGCCAGGTTGATCAATCCTAGACAGAGAAATCCGATCGGAAGAGGTCAGGTTCGAACCATGGACCTTTCGACCAGTAACTTCGCGCTCCATCTCACCCCCTGGACATAAC